TTATTATTATTATTATTATTATTATTATTATTATTATTATTATTATTATTATTTTATTTTTTTCTTCACAATTACTCCTCTCTCCCTGACTCAGCACCCTCAAAACTTCTGTCAGGGAGCTGGTTCAGCTGTTAAGAGCCAGGGAACCCAACTACAGCTAGGGGATCTGATGCCATCTCCTGGCCTCCTCAGGCACTGCATTTGTATAGCATAAGTACACCTGCACATAAATCTTAAAACAAAACAAAACAAAAACCCCCAAGTGACCAGTGTTCTCAGAGCTAAGAGCTGACGCTGTAACCATGAAACAGGAAGCTGCAGCTTCTAAAGAGAGATGAATAATGAGAGAAGAAAGCATTCGGAAGAAGAAACCACCAGGGTCTAGGTTTTAAGAAGTGAATAGAACGGTCTGGAGACAATGAAATGGCAGTTCTCTGGAGGTCATCTCAAGAAGACAGGGTAGGAAAGGTAGAGGACTGAGTGGGGACCTGGCTGAGTGGGCAGATGTGTATACACTAGAGGGCCTGAGTTCAGGGCTTGGCTTTCTGGGTAGCTTGTCTAGCCGAAACGGCAAGCTCCAGGTTCACCGAGAAACCCTGTCTCAAAAAGCAAACAAACGGCAAACACGTGGAGATTGCCAGAGAACAAACACACCCGAGGTCAACTTGTGGTCTCACATGAATGTGTGAGCACGCCTTGAACTAAGGAAATATTAGAGAGGAAGAAAATAAGTTAGAGTTGATCCAGGAAGCCTGCTTTGTACAGAAGGAGCGAGTCTGCAGACTTCAAATGAAAAAGTCACCCCAAAGCGCAAGCATCACCAAACGGCAAACAGCTGAGCTTCAGGGGAAAATTCTAGGAGTTTTAGGGTGAGGGGAACAGATTACACCAGGAATCAGAATGGTTGTAGTATCCCAGGTGCCAGGTTGGCGATGGGAGGACCATGTTCTGATGGGAAATTATTTCCACCTATGATTATACTTACCGCCAAAGGAATTAGAAGTTAGAACGAAGATATTTTCAGAGAAGGCAGTAAAAGCCTTTCCCCTTTAGGCCTTTTCTCGGGCAGTGGCTACAGGATGTGCTCCACCAAAATGAGGGCATAGACCCAGATGCAGGGAGACTTTGGAGCCAGGAAACAAGCATAGCTGTGGGACTGCTCTGAGATCACATCCGGCCTCCGCAATGCAAATGGCAGAAGAAACGCTGTGGAAGGGAGAGCGCTGGAAAAACAAGGGCACATAGATGATGTGGCTAAATGGAAAAGCAGTTTAAAGGTCTGCTGAAGTCTAGCAATATGTATGTAGAAGTAAAAAAGTGGATAAAAAAAAAGGGGGGGGGGAGGGTGTTTGAGACCAGAACTCAGGAAATGGAGGCAGTAGGATCAGGAGTTCAAGGTCATCCTCGGACACACCGAGCTCCACCTCAGCCTGGACCAAAATGTGCTCTCAGAAATCCAAACCGCATAAAGACAACAACTAAAAAAGAGGCAACTAACTCAGGGTGAAAAATCCGTTCTAAGGAAGTAGATGTAGCAGGATGTACTCTCTGATTCGGTCACTGGACAGTTACCTGTAAAAAGAATGTCAGTTCTGGCCTGGTGAGGTGGCTCAGCAGGTGAGGTGCCTGCTGCCAAGCCTGGTGGCCTCTACATGGGCGGAGTAGCATGCATGTGTGTGTGTGTGTGTGTGTGCGCGCGCGCATATCAAAAACAAAAACAACAACCCTAAAAAAAAAGTGAGGGCTGACCTTAGTGGCCCACACCTAGAGTCTCAGCAGCTTGCTGAGAGGGTTGGCTGAGCCTACAAATAAGAGATGAGCCTGGGAAACACAATAAGACTCTCTATGTAGATATTAAAATATAGTAATTATAAATACATACATACACACACACACACACACACACACACACACACACAAAACCACAAAAACAAGCCCTGAATGATTTTCTAAAATGCTGTTCTGGCTCTCTGGGCAGAGGAGAAAAGACTGTCTTTCTGGGCCCCTGCAGGTGACAGAGCCATGACTCCTGGCCATTGGCTTCAGGAGGAAGAGGTATTACGGCCTACATATGCTCCCTGACCCGACCTGGAAATTGTCTCTTCCTTCTGTCTGTGCTGACCGAGGGGGACCTGGGTTAAAATGACAGGGTTTCAGAAGTGAAGCAGCCTGGAACCGCCTCGTGGAACTCGAGGTCCATGGGAAGCTGGGCGGGCTCTTGAGTGAGACACAAGCCTCTAACGGGTGCAGCCACTGAGGTTCTAGGGTTGTTTTGCCACTGTCTTGTCTAACCAAATCAAACCTTCAAGAAGTATCGTCTAAGACTGATAAACGAGGAGAAAGCCATCTAAGCATATTCCTTTACATTTTTATTTTATTATTTTACCTTATGTGTGTGGGTGTCTTGCCTGCATGTCTGTCTTTGTACCATGTGTATGCAGTATCCATGGAGGCCAAAAGAAGGTGTCAAGAGCCTTATGGAACTGGAGTTACAGATGGCTGTGAGCCCCGTATGGGGGCTGGGAATTGAACCTCTTGAAAAATAGTCAGTTCTCTGCGCCGCTGAGCCGTCTCTCTAGCTATTTTTTCTATTTAAAAAAAGAAATTACCACAGATAACTATTTGTGTATGGGTGGGGACATCTGTGCCATGGTATGCCTGAGGCAGTCAGAGGGCAGCTTGTGGGAGTCGGTTCTCACCTTCCAAAGCGTGGGCCCTGGGGATGGAGCTCGGGTCATCAGTTTGGCGGCAGGAGCCCTTACCCTCTGAGCCAGCTTGCCACCCTGCCAGTTCTGAAGCGTATTAGACCTAAGAGTCAGGAGACCAGATAGCGCAGTCCCGTGGACGCTCGTGGGGAGCAGGACCGAGGCGAGAGCATGAGCAGAGAGAGGGCGGCCTTGGCTCGGCGGCACTCTGCGCTTTGTAGATCGGCAGGAATATGATCTTGTGCGCTTTCGACGCCCGTAGAGTGGAGAGTTGCCCACCAGGCCGACACAGTGGTGTGTCTCAGGAGACATGGACTGCTCGACAGCCCGTCTGAGGAGCAGGGATGGGGCCAGACGTTTAGGACAGGGTGCAGGTCTGCGGGGGACTGAGGAGGGCCATGTAGTGTGCCCCGCAGGCAGACCTGCCTTGCCGTGGGGACAGCTGAGTCCTGAACTTGGGGAGGCTGCGACCTGAGTCCATGCGAGCTCACGAGCCCTGGCAGAGTCCCCGGGGTAAGTCAGTGAGGACGTGAGGCAGGGGTGGGCGCTCAAAACACAGCAGCAGCCTGAGAGAAGGCCGTGTCTGAAGAGAGGCCTGGTTAAGTGACCTGGCAAGCCATGCAAACTCGAGGGGACGAGGGTGGCCCTAAGCCGGCAAGTCCTGAGGAGGGCTGGGCCTGAGGTGTGCAAGGCCAGTGGAAAGGCCAGTGTGTGGCGGAGGGCACTGGTCAAAGAGTAGCTTTGGAGAGCCTGGACCCCAGAGGTTGGTTGGAGCCAACTTAGGGAACAAAAGGGTGCTTTGGGGAGGTTTCTGAGGGTTGAGAGCAGAAGTGGGGTGTGATTTGTCCTGAGGCCGGGGCACAGGGGACCTAAGGAGGCCATGAGGGCAGGGTGTAGCTGTGGAGGGTCCCTTCTGGGCCCCTCAGCCCCACATGGACCAGTTCCAGCAGCCTCAGCTCCCACTCGGCAGCAGCCCAGCCCCCCTCTTAGGATGCAAGGATCTGTCACAAATCAAAATAGCAGGCAAAGAACAGCCTAGAATTGTTCTGGGTAAGAGCAGAGAAATTAGACAAGTCAGCTGTGGGCTCAAGGCCGCCTCCCACACAGCTGTGATCCTCACTTCTCCAGACGCTGGCAGTTCCGCTGGCTCCGAGGGAAACTTTTGCTTCTCCAGCCCCAGAGCAAAGAGTAGTTATTTTGGGAGGGAGTGGGACAGATGCTGGTCTTGGAGGGCAATGTGGGAGTGGTCGCCTCCTCCTCGTCTTCCTCCTCCTCCTCGTCTTCCTCCTCCTCCTCCTCCTTCTTCTAAACCAAAAACCCCTCTGATCTGTCACAGAGGAAGAGCTTTAACAGATGAGCATTTGGCCAGTCCTTCAGACACACCAAGTGTCAAGCTGGGCCTGGTGGGCACATGCACATTTTCACATCGTTTGGGTGGCAGAGGTAGGGGGAGCTCTGTGAGTTTGAGACTAGCCTGGTCTACATAGTGAGTTCTAGGACAGCCAGGACTGTTTAAGGTTATCCTTGGTTATATAGTGAGCTTGAGGCCAACCCGGGGAGGGAGGGCTAGTAAGTCCATATGTCACATCCTTCTGCCCCACCCCAAGAAAAGAAAAAGGAAAGAGACGAAGGATTCCCTTCTCAGTTTCAAGGAGAATCTAGACTCCTGACTGCCGCCTCCGATCTCCTGGATTTTTTTCCCCCTGGTGCTGGGTATCCAACCAGGCACTGTACCAGTGAACTGTACCCAGATCTGCTAAATCTGAGTCTCTGGAACTGGGGCTTTTACTCTCCACTCTTAATCAACACACCTCTATTCCAACGGTTATTCTGAACAGAAGCTCAAGAATCACTAGGCAGTCACTGCCTAAAGCCCAATGTCAGAAGAAACAGGGAAATGGAAGCTCCAACAATCAGCAAACCACAGTGAGGAGCCACGGTGAGGACAGAAGACCTCCTGATGGCTTCTGTGCTTTCCCAGTTCTACCCAACGGGGTCCCTACACGGGTCTTGCTCTTCTCTCTCCTCCTTCCTTTTTTCTTCTGTTTTTTTTTCTTTCTTTTCTTTTTCTTTTTCTTTTTCTTTCTTTCTTTCTTTCTTTCTTTCTTTCTTTCTTTCTTTCTTTCTTTCTTTCTTTCTTTCTTTCTTTCTTT